ACAGTACACATATGCATAAAATAGAGACACACATGCAAAGAGAGTGTTATGTGATCTAATAAACTATCAAAATTCTTTAGCTATTTAATGATGCACCACCATTCAGACCACCCGAGGACACACACACACACACACTAAATGTCACAAAACTCTCATTTAACACTGTGCTTTCTCATCATTTGGAGCTGTGCCCTAAAACACACAGTCTGGAATGGACAAACCTCGGGCTTTTTATATCCTCCATTAGTTGTGCAGCAGATATAAATTAGCAGTATCACTGCAACCACGGCAGCATCCAGCCAAAGGCCGACTAATGCTTTGCAATCCTCCATAAAGCTCACATTCCACTATGATATACTCCTACTACACGGGTGTCTCACATAAAATGAGCTTCGTAGGCATTTGGACAGACACACAGTGATGTTTTCGCTCTGTGCTGTTATTACTTTAGATGTGAAACACCACAGCTGCTATTAGTCTAGTGTCCAGACTGTCAGCTTTAATGGATATGTTCTTCCACATCAAATGAGCAGTTAAAACTTCTTCCACATTTTGTCAACTTTACCCAGTGCCAGTGCTATGCAGATTATTGTGATAAATTAAAGAAAATGACAATAAGCCTATTTTTAGACAGATAAACAGAAAAATTAGTTCCTATACTTTAATCTTTTACTCAGTAAACATTCTGCATTTTTGTGTTTATTTTTTTGTGTGTTTTTGTGAATTTGTTATTTACCCACTGTTCTTTTCCAGCATCGCCTTACACTCAGACAGTCACACACCCAACAAGCTGCCCACATCTTATCTGTTGGCCACAGAGGAACCCAAAAGGAGCAACTGAGGTTTGCCTCAATAATGGGTAAAGAGAGACCTACTCATTGACATACATTAACAGGTAATACCACATGGCACTGCACTTCAAACTTCACCCAGTTAAGGCCACTGTGTTGTCATCTCTGGCACCAAATGTTAGTGTGTTCAGACTCTTTGACAAGTTAAAGGCACCAAAATTGTGCATTTTCTCTTCAGCTCTTGATATACTACTGTATCTCTGGATTTTATTTTCATTTTGTTTTCGCAACATATGAAAGATGCCTATAATCCTTGCACGGCTCCCTGACATGAGGTGACTGTGCCTGTGTGTCTTAAATGGAGGTCAGCTGCCTGGTCACTGCTGGTCTTGGGCCTGAACTTCAGAAAAAGTCAAAAGGTGTTGCTTGAGGATCTCAGTGTGTTCATAGGCTCGTGTGGGGAAAATTCCGTCAAAGTAAAGCTTGTAGACATCAAAGCCTTTTTCTGCACAAATTCTTTCTGATGGCATCTCGAAGCACAGCAAACAGGTTGTAGTGTGTGTGTGTGTGTGTTAGTGTGTGTGTCTGGACGATGTGTGAGTGTGGTTGCGGCTACACATGGTCAGCACAATTACCGAACATCAAAGGCTACTAACATCTCTGCTGTCATCCCTGGTCGATCTCTCCCAAAGTGAGTCATCCTGCAAAGTGAACAGAGATCTGGATACTGCAGAAGAGGAAGGAGAGGAGGGATGAAGAGGGAAATGAAGATGAGTTATGGGCAGGTAATATAATGGAGCAAAGCGATTAAGGAAAAGATTGGGATTGATAGAGAGATGGAAAGAAGTGGCTCTGACTGAAGGGCTGAAAGAAGGTGACCAGAGATGTGGGCGAGTGAAGCGACATCATAAAGAAGAGGAATGTATTTGCATATGGAGCGGCTGATGCCTTCGAGACAGCTCCAGCTCTCGCAGCTGGCAGACTGACAGCACTGGGCAGGTGTGAGGCTCGGCACCGTGGCACATTCAGAAAGTGACACTTAACAAGAGTTGTGTGTGTGTGTGTGTATGTGTGTGTCTATGTGTGTGTGGAGGGGGCACCATTCATCTTAAACAGCCCTTTGTGCAGCAGCCTTCAAAAATAGAGACATGCTGTATCAGTTCTCTCTCTTTTCCCCAGCACATCCATCTGCATCCTTTCTAATTGCTGTTCCCTTCTCTACAATTTTCTGTTCTTCCTCTCCCAATGTTAAACCAAGGGGCAGGAAGGTGCTTTATCGACTGAATGGTGAACATTCATGTCATTACATTATATAAAAACCTGAGGTATGGGTCTGTACTGATGACTGATTTTAGGACCTATTTCATTATCTTTAGAGAGCACAGCTTTGTATCAAAATGTCCTACATGAACATGTTTAACTTTGTTGCTTGGCCAAGAGGTGGGCGATTCTTCATTCTGAAACAGTCTTGCTCTGACAAACCTAAATGAATGCATCAATCAATATTCCCCCCTTGCTTCCCATCTTGCTTTATTCCCTTGTCATTTCACTGGTGGCGACAAAGCAGCTAATTTTAAACAGGCAGCACAAATTGGCAAGTTAAGGCCATATATTTTGTCATCTGACTTCATTTTTTCCCCCCTGTAATGTTTCTGTGTGCTGTTTTGCTCTGGGGCTTTTTGAATCACGGTCAAATTTGCCTTATCAGCTAATCTCTTTGTGACTAGACAAATTCAAGGTCATTCATTATATATTTGAATCTTGAGCCAAATTCACCAGTTGTTTCCTTTCGTGAAAAGAATATCTAATAATGGCTTTAAAAAGTTGGCTTTCAGCGAAACCATATCTTCTTTTCACTAAGAAACTTATTGACAAATCCAATATTGATAACAGAAAGTAAAATAACCCTGAGTGAGAAAAGAGAAATAAGTACAGAAAACTGCTTTGTATTTGCAGAAAGTCTAAACTCTAAGCTGTAAGGCTTTTGAGTTTCTAAATAATGAGTCTGAAGTATTTAATTTTTGCCGCTCTAAAGAGATGAATGCATTTGATAAAAAAAACTGCTCTTTTTTTAGGTAGTATGGTTATGGGATATTACTATAACATTCCCATTAACATTACATTTAAGGAGTGATTGGCCATGAAAAATGATGTTGACAAGTTGCTGAATATAGGTGTACCAGAATACAGTTCTGGGTTTGGGTTTTGTGACAGCTCAGTGGACTATGCTGCGTGCTATTCAATCACTGCATGGCTTCAAATCCATTGCTGCCTGTCATCGCACCTGTCTCTTCCATCTGTCCTGTTATTCTTCCTCACCATCAAACAAAACTGGAATAATATTAACAAAAAAACTTTGTGAAAGTTTGAGCATCGTTTATTTTCTCAAGGGAATGTAAACACTTGGCTGCAAAATCTCCTTGACATTGATGAAGGAATGCAAAAAAAAAAAAAAAAACATTAATGCAAAACAATATTTTGCATGAAAAGCAATTTCTGCCCGGTCTTCCTCAACTTCCCTGTCCCAGTTCACAAAACTGTTCTGATTGATTGAGTGGTAATTGAGGTTTTCACTGACCCCTCACTTTTCATCAGGAGAAGAATCACACCTCAGCTGCAGAAATGCAACCCTCTCAGGCAGCATTTATTCCTGACAGGTGGGCTGATTGCAGCTGCTTTCTTCAGTCTAACATGACGTGTTATTGCCATTACTTAATTCCCCCTCCGTCATCATCTTCTGACTTGCTGAAATAGGTGGTTACCTCTCCCTATCAGGCTCAGTTGCATCCTTCTCTCCATCTCTCCCTTTTCATATTCTTATATCCCTCTTCATGCGCTCCATCTTTTTTTACACTCATGCACATTCTTCACTTTCCTGATGCTGTTGGAACATAAATGATGGAAGTCACCAGACATAGTCATATCCAGTAATAGAATGTGACTAAATATATTTACTCAAATAACGTACTAGTATTTCAGAATCAGAATCAGAATCAGGTTTATTGCCAAGTAAGTTTTTACACAAGGAAATGCCTTGGTGCATTGGTGCATAAAAATCACACAAAAATAAAGTATTTTTAAAATATAAATAAATAGATAATAAGATAAGGATAAAGATAGAAAGATCTAAACTGTACAGAAAATATATTTACAATGTGCAGGATAGAACTTGCACTTGAGTATTTCTATTTTATGTAACTTTATACTTCTATTCAACTATATCTCATTGGCAAATATTGTACTTTCATGTCACTACATTGTCAGACAGCTTTAGTTACTACTTTTCAGATTACAATTGTTCATACCCTTCCAGTGAAAACCATGTATGTACAAATAAGGTGATTTTGAATTGAACGTGTCTGGATAACCTGAAGAATATAGTGTTCCATTATGGATTGAGAAAATTCTCCTACATCTTAGACTAAATAAACTATTGAAAGACCCTCTTGGATTAGCTAGAACATGCTTTGTGATCAAAGCTGCTCAAGTGTTTCTGTTCAGGGATTTATTGTGATCTGTTTAGAAATCTAAAGCTGTGAAAAGTGTAAAACATGCAGATACTTCTTATAACACTATATTATTGTGGCTTACATTTTCCCACACATTGTCTTTGGGATTTGAATGGATCAGTGTGGATATGAATTAGCGTTTAGTCTTGAAAAAGTCATGCAAGTGACATTCTTTTCACAGCAACATGAACTTTAATGTCAAAATAAATCCCAGGTTGTCCTCATTCATTTCAATTACTTTTCCCTACATTATTCTCTGATTAGGACTAAGTCTTTATAGCGTATATCACAGGTAGAGCTGTTTTTGCACAAGTATTACAGCCTTGTATAGACTGTTGACTGATATGGGAAAAAATTGCTCAGACAGTGAAAGACACCACATGACAAATTGAATGGCATCATACCACCACCACCACAGCTTGGAGATAGGGGAGCTAAAATGCAACATGCATTATTCTTGTTAATAAAAATTCATGAACATGTGTCTGTGCACGTGTTTTCGTGCGTTTTGTTAGTGTGTGTACGTGTGTGTGCATGGATATTTGCGAAAACAAATTCAGATGTTTCCAAAGCAGCAGTATTTATAGTGTATCATCAATGCTTATTTGTCAGTTCAGAAATACTGAGGTAAGAGGCTTCCAGAAGGACACTGATGATATAAAAAATAGAATCAGGCTTATACAGAGTGTTTTGGCAACTATTTATTCAACATTTTTTATTTCATACATGAGAACAAACCTCTAAATTAAATATAATAAATCCCACAGACAATGGGAGAAAAACACCTCCATTACGGTGCAATATATTGAATCAAGCCCTCTCAGTACAGCTTGATATGAAACCTCTTATTTCACCAAGGTACATCAGAAGCTGAACTAATGTGTCTAGCTCTAATCCTGATCTTTACTGAACTTTACTGTGGATATTCTGTATTTTGTGAGTGACTGACCGCTATACATAAAGATGTGTTGCTACAAGGAGAACAAAAGCATTGAAATGCTTACACACCATAAGCTAAAATTAGAGAACATTGTGTATGAACACAACTTCTATCATTCTTGAAACTCATGATTATTTGCAGCATATTTCTAAATATCAGAATTTGAAATCAGTGATCATATCAAAAAAACTCTTTCTTAAGTCTAATATCCCAATGACAGCAAGATGACAGAATTACTGAAGAATCACTGAATAATTTTATTAACATTGTGATAATCTTAAACTCAACAAAATACATGGTGTCAGCATTCGGGGACTTGCAGAGTGGGAATGCTCACGAGTCCCCTTTTAAAGACAGAAAACAGACAAACAAAAAAGTCTCTAAATGAAATATATTCCTGAGATGCAAAACAAAAGAAACAGATATAATCAAAAATAAAATAAAAGATCAAAACATCACTTCATGTGGTTGTGTCACATGTTGCTGTCATCATTGTGACAATTTGGAGATTGGACTGATTGACTCTAGTGTCAATATTGCAGAGGAACAAAGAAGTGCACTGAAGCCAAACTGTACAGCAAAGACATATGAAGGGTCAGAGGAGGAGAAATAGGACTGGACTTGGCCATGTCATGCTATCATCACTGCTATGGAGAATAGAACCAACAAAACCACGAGTTAAAACAAAATATAAACCAGTTAAAAAAGAAAAGGATTTTGTATAGACTTAAAGTGGCCATTACTTTCTTATCCATCCCTTTTTAATCAGGGATTTTGAGTTTTTAGTTGGTATGGGCCTCTAATTTCTTGAAAATGGAGACAATTGCCAGGGCAAACTTGGAGCCAAATGTGTGTGCCTGACTGTAACTGCAATATTCTGTGACCAGAGGTGCTCCTGGGGTAGTGCAGTGCGGTGAAAAGGTTCTAGCATGATGAGGTTCTAGCATGATGAATACATAATGCAGTTTTTATGAGCTTCAACAATCACCAATCAGCTCATCTCATCCCTCTTTAAAAGAAGGTGGGGGGAGAGTAAAGGAGTAAACTGTAGGTGCAGAGTCACAAGGCACAAATAAACAGCTCCCCAAATATGTGTCCAAGGATTTTCTCCCTTTTTTAAGATGAATTTACATTTCAGGACTAGCTGAAATGTCGTGAAATGATATGTAATTTTATAAAATAATTATATCAGTGCACTTAGTCAACATCTAAATTAACTTATAATATATTAAAATTGCCTAATACAGCTGAACACACACATATGACTCCTGCTGCTGATGGCTACAGGTTTAATCACCTGAAAGGAAACGATACTACGATGTACAAGCAGTTGTTAATGACAATACTGCTGGAAATCTCCCATTAATTGAACCTATTACAAACTGCTTTATCGCATTAAATATGTAATTAATGAGAATTCAAACTCATGCATACATGAATGTTTTTTGGTCGGTACCTGTACAAAACTGCCAAAATGAAAATTGTTCACAAAATTTGAAAATGAGCCAAAATGGAGATAAATAAAAAAAATGGACTTGTGCCCAAATAAGACGTCACTGCGACTACATTAGTGCTATTACTATCTTGCCACCAGGATGAAATTAGAGGCCCATTGGATATTAACCGAACTGATATATGTTGGAAAACAAGGAGGCAACAAGTTTAAAGCTTAGTTTCAACCGACAACAAAAAAGAAATACGACTAATAACTGACCCCAAGCTACAGTTGATTCTGTCATAGCAAAATAGTGCATGATGTTATGTGCCAGGCTGTTAGAATAACAAATTAAAAAAAGATTCAGGTTTGGTCTAACTATCATAAAAAGCCATTTGCAACAAATTAGCTCATTACTGTCATGTCAAAACAAATATTTACAAAACAAAATACATTTCACCATTCACTAAGAAGTATCCATCAAATTAGTCAGAGTGCATAATTCAGTAAATGGCACCTGTTTCATTTCTAATGCAAACACCAACTCATCACAGCAGACCTGGTTATTTATGAGTGTTCATTTAATATAAAACAGCCTGTTTCTCTGACTTCAGAATCAACAAATTGATTCGACCACTCTCTTATTTGTCAGATGGATACATAAGCGTAGAGAAAACCGAAAATTTGATTGACACCGTCATTGATTTAAGACACATTGAAAAATAACTACATAGAAAAGTTTAAAAAAAAAAAAGAACAAGACATTACATTACATCATTGTGATAAATGTATCTATACACACTTGTGATACAGAAGGTTTCTAAAGACCAGAGCCAGTCTAGAACACTTTAGTCTGGACCTACTGAAGGTTCATGGTGAGACTGAAGTTAAACCTGTAAATCGTGGTCTATTGGTTGAACTGCACTGATATTGTAAAATATGGAAACTTTGACAAAGCTTCTGCATTTTAAAAACGAATAATTAATGCATTTAAAATCATATAAAACCTAAATTTCTACATGTGAGGTGATCAATCTAATGATTCCCAACTTGTGATTCACTCCAGCAGTGCTTGACTTATAACACACACAGAAAAAGACCTTACTTGCTGACCTTATTTGCATAATGTTGTAAATTGGCCATCGAATTGGAGACAGCTGGGCCCACTATTTTATTGCCCTTGGTAATAATTTGCTCCCTCTTAGTAGATTAGTGCCTTGTCTTTAGGTCTTTAGTTCCAGAGGCCACATGTTTATCGCTCTTTCACAGGAGAGTAAATCAGCCAAATTCCTGCAAACTGATGAAAGACAAATGGCAGGGATATATGAAAAGAAACTGAAGTTGTTTACTAGGATAGTTTCTTTTAGTGTGTGAAACTTACATTGCCTCTAACATGAAGGTAAAACTTCTTTTAATGCCTTTGAATTCCAATTGAAGGATTTGGTGAAGTCAGATGCACATTTTCTCATATTTCTGTGGACAAAAGGCCAACAATTTTTCCAGATAGTTTTGTAATTTTCTTTTGTTGTTTATCATATTTTCCCTAACACCAAATCCTTCAGTTCTGTAGCACCCAAGAGCATGCCACAAACACAAGAAGCCACTGTTCTCCAATATTGAGTTACAAACATATTTCCATTGTGGTTCTTTCTTAAATAAATTCAATTGAAATAAATTAAACATGAAAAAGAACCAAACAAAAACACGCTAATGTGTATTACCAAAGTTTAGTTTTCACACATTATTTACATGCCCTTTGCCAAAACAAAATACACTTGTTTCAAAGTTTTCTAATAAGTATGCAATCAAAAATGAAAAAAGTAAATAGATATGGTGGCTAATATACAAATTTTAAGGAATATGGGAATCCAGAATTTAACAGCAATTTTCACAATCAACCACATTTTAGCAGACACAATATACAGCGGGGAGCTTAGAACCATTTAAACCAAAAATATTAGAAACATCATTTTTCTAAAAAACATGATTTAGCTTACATTTTCAAAAAGATGAGCTGTTTTATTTTTTTCCAGAATTGAATCAAAGACAGCCTTGTCAGCTTTCCACTACCCATTTTAATAGGAGAACCATCCCAAGGCGATCTAGTCGTTAGCAAAGGAATACATACTCATTCAGACATTTTTGTGCTTCTCTATTTATCAGTTTTTTAGGTTTGGAAAGGAGGCCCCTGCAGATCTATGACCCAGCACTCACACACTATTTCCCTTTTTTCTCTTGCTTGAAGACCCCATGAAATGGAAATCAAAGATCAGTTCATGGAGAGTGACTCTGACAAAATGGAAATAAGAAGAGAAATTATGCAGTTTACGACGTGGGAGTGTGCGACATGTTGGTGATATCTAACTCCATCGTTAGAAACTGGAAAACAGAAATTTGGAGGTGACAATACAAACAAAAAAGGATTTGTAGTGAACCGGATGTTATTACTGTTTGTAGATACCGTGGTAATACTATGATTGGATGCTTCTCTGTGAGCCAGTAAATGAACAGAAACGTGTGTACAAACCACTGTGGAAAGCTGCCTGGACCCCAAGTGCACAAGAGGTATCAATCAAAATGACATTAGTGAAAGACTGAGGAAAACTAATTTAACACTAAATTGCCTGTACATACTGTAACTGAGTACCTGTTTTTGTCTGTATTAACTCCTAATGGTTCATTTTACATTTCACAGGGTCCTTCAGCCTTAATATTATTCCAATGTGACATAATCATAAACAAAATAATTCAAAGTGAAAAGCTAAACTCATTTCAGTACAATTTATACAGCTTTTAGAGAGAGGAGATTGACTCTTTCTGTACACCTGAACCCTTAATGTGGATCACAAACTACGTAAGCTGTCAAGAGGACACTGAAGGTGTTGGTGTTTCGCTAAACTGCAGCCTGGACAGTGCAGGAATATACAGACAAAAGTACATAGGGACAGCAGATTTAGCAAATGGTTTTATATACTTGATTGAGTTTATTTGATGGAATGCTTTGTGTATTCTCTGCTCTAAACAATACCACAGTACCCTTTATTACCCCTACCCTAATAATGAAAATCATATTATATACTTATCTGACAAACCTTGCTACAGTTTTACACAAAACCTTCTTCTTATCTTACAAGGGTCAACTGTTTTAATTACAAGTCTATTAAGAGGGGATGGGGTTTGTGGGAGGTGGATCATCTAAAAGTACCATATTCAGTGTGATAGACATGTATAAGGCGTAAAACAGCAAATATTTTTCATTTCAAATAAAAAAGACGCAATGCATAATCAAAAGCTGTGAGCTAAGCAATGAAATGATGGTCGAGTTAACCATCTACGAAGCATTTACATTGCTACTGACAGACGATACATGAAGGCATTGACAGAAGTTCAGTGGCGTCTGTATTTTTAGGCACCGTGTTGATGTGAGATATGATATTTGTTTGTGGTCGTGTGTGAACAAAGGGGATATAGTTATGTGTTTGGGTGTCTGCTTGGGGGAAAACAGGAGAGAGGATGAACAGGGGGCCATGTAAGAAGCAGTCATGGTAGATATACAGACTTCCAGGCATTCATGTCAAACATGAGGAACAATATGAAAAAGGGGACAACTTCAGCAGCAATGGCAAGCTGCCTGTGAACACTGGCTGCCAAAAAAGAAAGAAAGAACGAAATAAAGGACAAGATGTAAATGATAGAAATGGGCTCAACAAAAGGCAATAATAGGAAAACACTCGGGGAACCTCTCTGCCTGTGGACTGCCTGTGGGTTCCTCGTTGACACGACGGGAACAGTGGTCAAAGGTGGAGAAGAAAAGGGGGAGACAGAGGGAGAGAGAAAAAGAGATACAGAGATTGAAAGGGGGAAAGGGGAAGGAGAGAGCTGCACAGCTCCCTCTGCAGTCTAAATGAAGTATTCTTTCTTTTCTTCTGCGTGTGCATGGTTGCCCTCGGCGTTGATGATGGCTGTGTCGGCGTCGGGCGCATCGTCCGCTCCTTTGGCCTCGTTTGTCAAGTATGTTCCTGAGGAAATGAAAAAAACAAACCTATATCAAGGAAAACAAATACCGAGCAGCCCTGCATGGTGTTTGCTGCCTGAGGCGAAAAAACACATCTGAAGACAACATCAGTAATGCTACATAATTCATATACAGAATGATGAGAAGCTAGGATAGTACGGGATATGTAAATGCAGCAGGGAGTAAGTGTGTAAAACCCTGCACCCACAAACACCTTCACTGTTCTCAATGGTGGCAGTCATGGCCTAAAGTTGCATGTCCAAATAATGTAAAGGCTCTCTTTATTTAAGAACTCAATTTAGTGTGGAGACTGACCATTAACCATTTATTATTTATTTTTATCTTTTTTTTTCTCTCTCTCTCTCTCTTTAGCTAAGTCCCTACATGTATAAAGCAGGCATGTTATATATATCTTGTTATTTTCAATATAAGTTTTTAAAAATACTATTATTGCATGTTCAGAATTGTGTGAGTCCACAGGTTTAAACACAGGGCAAATATCTGTTTATGAGTGATAGAGGAGAGTCTACTGCGAATATAAGAACTTAAAGGTAAAGGTAAAAAGGTAAAAAGGTAAAAAAAACCACATTGGAACACGGCCTTAATTCTATTTGGGGAATACAGATGCTCTAAATCTAGGAATTCCCAGTTCCCATAATGCTTGGGGCAGTGTAAACAGGAAGTATAATGTCGCCATGGATTCAGTGCGTTACATTGTAAGCTACAACTTGAGCCCCATTTTCTTAGGGTGGATTTGTTTACATTTGGGCAAATCGTAATGAATAAAAGTTTGCCAAACTAGCTATTTGAAGTTTCTATTTGTAATGTACCTGAGGATGTCGACTATTACTGGATTACTTTGAGACTGAAGAAAATTTTAAAACATGATGACTCTCAGGCAAACTCTGAAGTGAACTCTTACCATTTCTAATCGGATTTATGGAGTTTGGAGCTAATGATATCCTCAGAAAGTGTAAGGCACACTGAATCTAATGTAATAAAATATGTGTATTGTTTATTCAGATTTGGCTGAGTTATGAGAACAAAACAATGTCATTTTTTTTATTATTTTGGAAAAATAGATAACATAATAACCCAGTAAGTCTTGTGTATGCACTAGCTGCATCATACTATGTGTGTAGGACTAAAGCCTTCTTTTTCTCCACTGCAGGTATGTCGTGGACTTGTAACTTGGGAATTGGGGAAGGACTCTGAGTATTAGGAAATGCTTCACTAGTTCCATAAGCCTTGAGAAACTCATGTCTGGTCCACTGTGGTCTTACCTTTATGCCTGGCCAGGTATCTTCCCAGGACAATGATTAAACACAAGGTGACAAAGACCACTACAGCCACCACTCCTCCGATCAAGGCATGGTCAGTGCCATGCTGCCCCACAGCGTTTGGATCTGACGAAAGACAGAGAGAGAAACAAAGAGAGCACATAAAGGCACCGTTTGGTGAGGTGAGGGAGTGAGGGCAGCGGAACAGCAAAAGGCCGACAATACAAAACAGAGCAAGGAGGAAAAAAGAAGATTATTTCCAGCTCGTTCCTGCTCTAATGAGCTGCTGTCATTCCTCTCTCCTTTCACATCATGCAGTCAGAGCAGAGCTGCCTAGCTCTCTCAGAATAATAAAATGAGAGAGAGAGGGAGAAAGATGGACAACGCATTGACACAAAGAGCAGCTACAGGCAGACACACATTCATCCTGCAAAATGTAGGAAAAGGAGAATGAAAGAGGGAATCAGAAAAAAAGTGAATAATTTAGGATCGCCCCCACAGTGTTGCAGGAGTCCCCAACATGCAAACCAGGGCAACAGTGGAAGAGTAGTACACAGTAAATAAATCATCATACACAAAATAAAAAGGGAAGATCAATCTTTTTCTGTTTCTCTTCGCGAGGAAGGATTGTCATTGGAAAAATGAAATGGGTGTTACAGAGTTGCTACGGGTCCCCATCCGTTGGAAAAGCAGTCAGAATGATCAGAGAGTCGTGAAAGAGTGAAGAATCTGCATGATGAGGCTGTTCACGCCTCATTCAAAGACCCATCACAGTTTTCCCTTGACTTCAACAATAGCTTATTTCTTTTATTTACCTCGACTTCTATGTCTAGCTTGCAGGCTATTGGAGGTAAGAGTAGGGATGTGACAGTAACAGTGTCCACTGCAGGTGAATAAAAAAAAAGTTGACAGTGACAGCAGTGGGGGAGAAAGAGATAGCCTGTATTATTCATATCAGTCCATGACACCTGAGAAATTAGCACTCATCTCATTATCCTCCTCCGAGTGCCAGGGCAGGCCATATACAGCCCTGTCACTTTGTGCGTGTATGTGGGCTCATGATAGCTGAAATATGGCAATGTCAGAGCAGTGTAAGCCGTGATAGAAGGGTGGTTTAGACTCACAGCACACGGCGTATATTGACAATGTTTCTCTTCAGTATTCTCCTTTTCTTTCTGTGTCCACCCATGTGGCCAAATTGAACAGCTGGCTTGCTCTCGCTCCATAACTCTCCATGGTCTGAGTGACCAGGCGGTCACACTTCACTGCCTCCCAGTGGACAAACACACACTCATACCGACGCACACGGCTCATACACACAGGCGTGTGTAGCGTGGTTTCACTGCGCTGCAGTTCTGCTTGGTCAGTGGAGCAGAGAGTAGAGGAATGTTCCCCTGGCACGGCCCAGCAGGGCGAGGACTCGAGGCGTTTAGTTACACACATGGCTGTGTCTCTTCACCTCTATCTGTCAAGACACTGAGTGTTTTTTACCAGCATACACACTCACTGTCCTATCTGAGCTTCAGACCTGGCTGTTACAACCCAGTGCAGGCAGGCACAACAAGCATGACATACAGTCCTGTGTCTGTCTATAGAGTACTACACACTTTGGCCATGCAGTATGCTGGTGTCATGTCCAAGTAGGTTGGGCTGTACCCATGACTATTCCAGAACAAGTTGTCTGCTCTTGTTGCGTCTATGGCATCACTTACTTAAAGGACTGCACTGAAAATCTGTCTTCTGAGAAGAATTGATTAGCTGCTCTGAACAGATTTTAGCATGTTCCTTCATGGAGGTTTAAATACAATAGTGACCTCAAGTCATGGCATCTGTATCAAAATTATCGATACATCGTGTAGGATGATCCACTTTATTTTTCACTGTTGATTTGTATCTTCAGTATGTTCCAAACACTCACAGTTTCTCCAAAATATTGCAAACACATATACGCTATTGCCTCCTCATAGATCTCTGACTCTGACAGAAGTAGCATATTTAGTGATTTACTGGCAAAGTGGCAATTATTTTCCACATACTGAGCATACGAATCAATGGCGGAGAAGCTATGCTGCAGTAGCAGTTTCTATGGATGCTTTGATGCTTTTTTGTGTGCATCACCATTTTATAGCTTCTCTCAGTCCTGGTTGATTTAAGCTCCCCCAATTTTACCCTGTTATGTCTGTTTACAGGTCTTGGGGAGTACTGCATATGTAAAGAGAAGTCGTGTAAAGCCTTTTGTTGCTTCAGAAGAAACTGCAGAAAGTCTCAAAGTGATGTCACTTAAGTTAGCCTCGGTTTGGGCTGAAGAATACAAGTTTGAAAATCAAGAAAGTCTTCAGAAAGAAGGGTTAGGAAGAGCTGACCTTTGTAGCCCACCCCTCATCTCTGCTGAAGGCTAGCGACTCGAGGCTACATGAACCGTTACCAGCATAACAAACTTTTGACTTTCAGGTTTTGACTATGAAGTATTTTGTGTGGAATAAAAAAGTGGTTTATGCAACTGAACCACTTTTTTAAAAACCTGTCCATTTTGAGCCTGACAATGGTAGAGGACTGCAATACTAAATCTATGGAGTACTCATTATAGCCAACAGGGGATAGATAGGGGACGTATTTGATATTCAAGATTAGATTTTCAGATTAACTCATGAAGTAACAGAAGCCTGTGACATAAATTCGTCATAACTTACAGCGTGTAAGTGTAAATACTTTTCATGTGAGTGCCTTCAAAACATGGTTCATCTACTGTGTTCTTATGTATTCTGTTCTAGTCCACGGCTACTCACGGAAGGAGAAAAATACAGCAAGGGCGTACAAAGACACACAGAGAGAGGAAATGAAAAAATAGAGATTGATGGACAGGAAAAGGCTGAAATTTCAGTTGGAGCAAGACGGAAAACGAAAGACGACAAGGAGGAGAGGGATCTAGAGAGGAGGGTTATACATTTTCATGGGTCCAAAACACATTATCTTTTAATAAGGGCACATACATTCTTCTCTGTGTGATTTAATATGTGAGCGTGGAAGAGCAAACTCCTCTTTTAATATTTATAACACTCTCCTTGTCGCCTGGCCTAGCGAGTTGGGCTTGTGTAATAAATGAAAGGAGTTCAGGGCTTCTGTGAGCCACTGCTTTGCTGGACTGAACCGAAAGTGTTACTCTTAAACTGCCCCACTAACTCCTCATCTGATCTGTTTCACTGATGCTGGCTCCATATGGGGTTACTGTGGAAGGATATGTGATATTGATACTGTGTGGGTTTTCAAGAGGATGTGTAAAGGCTGGAAATGGAAACAATATCATTTACAGTCAAATTACCTGGTCAGATAAAATTTCATTCAGCATATAATTACATTCCTCGAAGGAATTTGAAGCATACTGTACATCAAATTAAAAGCATGGGGTGGCATGGGGTGGCAACTCTAAGAATCGTTAGTCTTATATTGGTTCCAAAAAGGTGGTACACCGATTTCTAAATTATGTGCCAAGGAACATTATTAGTTCAAGTGAAAGCTCTAGTATTTCCATCAAGGACTCAGCTGGAGAGAAATTATGAGCATACAATAAAAGCTGGACTGCCTCTTTAAATCAGGTCATCACCTACGTTTTATACCAGATCTGAACTTCTGCAATCATACATTAATACAAATGTGAATGGTAAAACTATTATATCAAAGAAGGGAAGCTGAATGGAGATGACTGAGTAGTTTAAGTATTTAAATGGCTGGTTTTGTTAGTTGAGGGTGATACTTCCCTGTCTATCAAAACTTCAAAAAGAATAAAGAGGTCCCTCCTCCAGGCTGGACATTTTGATAATATATGCAAACCTAGCTCCAACATTAGCCTCACCATGTTTCTGTAGACCCTAAACACCAATGTAAGCACATTTTGTCAGATTGATGAGGATTCACCAGTAGAGTTATAGTTATATTTGTTTATTCCTCATATTAACAGCTTCGTCGGATATTTCTACTCTAAACTCTTGTTGTATTACGAATATGTGTCCTTGTCTTATTCTTCAAACACTATATTCAATGTCTGAAGAACTTCACAAGAGACGTTTACCATTCAGTAAAGAATTGTTACAGCATCTCTTGGGCCTGACACCATCCTCTGCACCGCCTTTCATCTAAAGTCATCTTTTAAATTAACAATCTCAAATGATCAGACGCAGCATCCTTGAATCCATCATATCAGTATGCAACTCAAAAGGCCTTTCCATACTGTAGATTAACATATCTCTCTCTCTCTCTCTCTATTCCCCCCTTGGTATTAAATTTGTTATTATTAAAATTCATCCCCTACAGGCATCTTTTTCTTCTTTTGGATTGCACTTTTTCCTCTCTCTATCTTAGATATAGCTCTATGATGCAATAGGTATAGTTGCTCAGATCAATAAAGCAGCAGCTAGCTTAAGCATGGGCTTATAGAGCTGCAGTGTCCTTGTGTCTGTGGTGTGGGTCAGGGAATCTTTGAGCGTGTTAGCACACAAAATAGAAAATACTAGTTTGCGTTAACAGGAGCTCAGATTCATGGGATTCAAGGTGTGACTTTATTGTTGTTGTTTTTTTGCAGTTAATATGAGTATTTATCAGATAAGGAGTCTTATATAAGATATAGCCTGATTACCTAAAATAAACTGTGACCAAACATAAGAAACCAAATAAATAAAACCGTTATGACTTGCCTCTAATGGCTTCCATAGTATTTGAAAACACTGCACATTACATCATTAAATGTGAAGCAAAGAGACACATATTACTCTGCATTACTCCTGCTGCAGTAAAAGTCAGGGACACAAAGAAAGAGTGCCTGCAAACATAGGGGAAAGGGAAGAAGAGAAAGTGTTGAAAAGTGCCTGCAGACTTCACTTGCTCAATGAGTCAATTATGCCCAACTTTTTGGCTGAGACTGGAAATTCACCAATCTGCATCTAATGCCGCCTCTACTGCCAAGATGAAAGAGTCCCTGGAGGCTGAGGCAGAGGGCCGAAAGACACGTGCGTACACTCCTGAATGAATGCAACCATGCATGTGAGAGAGTCAGAACGACAGAAAAGAAGAGACATTGCAGAGACATGCGTGTGTGTTTGTGTGTGTCCTTGCACATTATTGCTTGCTGGGTC